CAAGGAAGACAACAGGAATAAGTATAAATATTTACAGAATAAACATAAACTGAACAAGCACAATTATATTGAAAGTAGTTAAATATACTGTAGTCTGGGAGGTAACTGTTATTAGAAGGAGAGAAGTTGGAGGGAAGAATAGGTTTAGGGGATGAGTTATTTGGGGCATTTTAGGTAGGAGATGTCAGTGGCACATTCAAGCAGAGATATCCAGCACCCTGGTGAAAATATGTCTGGAATTCTGGGGAGAAGTTGCAGACAAAGACAAAGAGTTAGGCGTTCTCTGCATTGAGTGACCTTTGTGGGAAAATCCAACACTAAGAGACCTAGAGGAAGCTCAGTAATATCACCATAATGGCCAGAATGAGGGGGTGATTGTCCTATTCTCTTGTGCCTTAGTCATTTCGTTACAGAATATCACTGTCTCTGCTTTATTCTTGAGGAGAACCAATGACACAATGAGGGTGATGTCTTGACTCTCCGAGGGAATTGGATTTAAGTGAGGCAGAGTGGTGCAAAGTCATTAACCTCACTCTCTCCTCCATTCATCAGAGTCCAGTGGCAAGCTGTAAGTCAATGATCAGCGATGGCCTCTACAGAATTTTAGAGTTGGAAGAGATCAGAAACACCAAATAGCCCAGTTCTGATGAGAACAAGAATCCTCTCTGCAGCTTATCTCTCAAGGGGTCACCTGGACCTTTGTTTAAGACCTCCAAGGAGGGTGAAGGCACCCCATCACAGGCAGACCTTTCAGCTTTGGGAGAGCTCTGATGGTGCGCCAGTTTTTCTCCTGACATCAAACCTAAAGTGGCTTCTTTGCAACTTCTATCCACGGCCCATGGGTCTATGCTCTAGGAACACACAGAACAAGCTTAATCTTTTCTTAAATCTTTTCCACCCTTCAAATCAGCCAGTCAGTCATTAATCAGCCAATCAATCAAACAAGCATTTACTAAGCACTTACCAAGTGCCAGCACAGTGCCAGGTGTAGAAGATATAAATACAAAAAGTGGGACTCACAGGAGTCAGCATGTTCACAGCTAAGTAAATATGGGAGATACATATCATGGAGACACGATGTTTTTTTCTTTGAGGAGGGAGAGGAAACATTAACAATTGGGAGGATCCAGGAGTGCCTCTTGAAGGAGGTGGCACTTTAGCTGAACCACAACAGCAGCGAGGGGTGTCCAGCGGTGAGTAGGGAATGCACTCCAGGCACGAGAGACACATTGTGCAAAGACACAGAAGGGGGAATGCTGTCTACAGGGGAGAGCCCCAGGGTTAGTTTGGATAGACCCTAGAGGGTATCAGGAAGGGTAATATGTAACATAGGCCACAGCCAGTGTGAGAAGGGCTTTAAATGTCAAACAAAAACCTGTTGTAGGCGATCCTTGGATCAAGCCCAAATTGGCCTCCTCCCTCCCATTGTTCTTTGTCCTATCTCCCGTCTTCTTTCAGGTGACAGCCCGCCCCCTACTTGGAGCACTATCATGCCTTTTCCTCCTCTACTCCTCAGTCTTCTCTTCTAACCATTCTCACTCATGGCCATCTTGTCCCATCTATACAGAAAAGAGTCTCCACCAGAACAGATTGGAAAAGTAGTTCTCCAAACTTTGCACAGAAGACACACAATGATGGGAAGCCCATTGTTTCTGGGGCATCCCATGCCAATGGAATGAGGTGCCCATTTCATCTATTTGGCCTCTGTATACTCCCCTGCATGCTCTGGAGTCCTCTTCTCTAATCCTTTGTCTTCAGATCAAGTCATTTTCCTTCTTTTCCTCCAGCCCAGGGTGGTGGTCCTCTAGGTCCTGGAGTGCTGCGTTTTGACTGAGTCCAAGTTTTACAGAAGAAATCCTTTTATTAAGGGGATTTGTTCTGTGAAGTTGAGGACCTAAAAGGCCACGTGTGGCTTCGGGGCTGCAGGTTCCCCACCCCTGCTCTAGCCCCTTTCCTTGGATTGCTTCCCAAGGTCTTCTGAATGTCTTCTCTGCATATTCACTCTCTGGCCCTTAGTTACCATTCTAATCTCTTCCAAAATCACCTTCTCATATACCTTTCTCCTTCAGTTCCAGGCTTCTCCTCTCCCTTGTTCATCACAACCTTCTTGGGAAGCTGGAAGTTGGAATATTAGCTAAGCATGCCTGACTTCCTTTCCTCCGTGGCTTGTTTCACCTCTCCTACCCCCAGTAACCCTTGCTCCTCACTTCCCCTTTCTAGTTAACCCTAGACCCATTCTCTTTATCGTCCAAGCTTAGAAGCTCTGATTACTCCTTGATACCCCAGGTTCTTCTTCCCCTTTGTTAATCAATCTCCAGATCCTGGGAGGCAGCCTTGGGTTTCAACTTGGTAGGGCACTGGGCTTGGAATGAGGAAGTCTTTCACCCAGGCCACTTACCAGCTGGGTGACCCTGGGTATTTAACCTCCTAGTGCCTTAGCTTCCCCATATGTAAAACGAAGGGAGTGTATTTGATGACCTCTGAGGTCCTTCCAGCCCAGAATCCATGATCCTGTTCTATAGATTCTTCCACACAATGTCCTCTGTCTCTTTTGCTTCCTAATCCTACTGCGCCATTGTGACACTGTGCCCAACCTCCTCCCTAATCTCCCAGCCTTCAAGCTCTCTTCATACTTCTTCCATACCACTATCAGATTATTTTCCTGAAAATCGTTCTTTTGTAGGTTGGCAATCAAGGCCTTCCCTCTATAATTGCTTCTATTTATCTCTCTGGCCTCATCTTGGACTTTAGTAGGGTTGTTATTCAGTCATTTTTTTTCAGTCCTGACTCTCTGTGACCCCATTTGGGATTTTCTTGGCAGAGACACTGGAGAGGTTTGCCATTTCCTTCTCCAGCTCATTTTATAGATGAAGTAAATGAGGCAAACAAGGTGAAGTGACTTACCCAGGGTCACACAACTAGTGTGATAATTGTCTGAGGCCAAATTTGAACTCAGGAAGATGAGTCTTCCCAACTCCAAGCTAGATACTCTAACCATTGTATTACCTAGCTCCCCATTTTTAGGGAAACCTGGCTTCAATTACCACCTTGGTTACTCCCTAGCTATGAAAACTTGGACAAGTGACTTTAATGGTTTGAACCTCAATTTCCTTCTTTGTCAAATGAAGATGATGTTTCTATCTCTTGCCTTCACAGCTGTAACTAGGAATCCTGGCATTTGAGGCAAATTTGAGCTAAGGAGAAGAGCATCAGTTAAGAGAGAGTCCAGTGAGTGTTCAGAGTGTGGCTGGGGTGGACTGGAATAGAAATCACCAGAGACCGAGTGGCCAGGGTGTTTGAAAGGAGCTGGAATTATTGGTAGAAAAGACTGAGCCAGGTACTGAATTTAGTGGGGAGAGTGACCTGGAGGGCTGCAGATGACAGCCTCAAGGCCCTGGGCAGGCTGAAATGAACTTTCAAAGATGAGAAAGGCTGCTCGCCATCTCTTGAGAGACAGGTGATGATAGTCTCAGAATGCAGAATAAGACGCACGATTTTGGACATAATCAAAGCTGGGATTTGTTTTGCTTGAGTATGCATATTTGTTACAAAGGTTTGTTTTTGCATTGGAGAAGGGGGAGAAAGGAGAGAAAATAAAAGCTTGTTTATTAACAAAAAAGTTAAAGGAAAGCAAGGTTAAAAGAAGATTGGGGAAGGAAATCACTGCACTCCAGGCAATAAATCAAGTTCCTTCTATGAATCAGGAAATATTTACTTCCAAAGACCACAAATCACAAATATATGTACTCTACCCCACACATGGGAGGCTTAATGCCCCTCTCTGCTGCACCCCCTCCATCTCTAAGAAGAGGAAGGGGATTAGGTTCATCGAGCTCTATTACCAAAGAGCACACTCCTAGGCCCAAGACCAAAACCCCTGGGGCTCCAGTTGGAGGCCTCCCAGCTTCTTAGGGTGTCCATAATGAGATGCTAGGCTGCTGCACCATCCCACCTGTAATCCTGGCTCCTGGCTCCCCATCCAATGCAGATTCCCACAGGCACCAGAAACTGAGGACAAATCACACAAAGCAGAAGCAAACACCCCAGTAAAAGAGGAGGAGGAGGGGAAGGGCTCAAAGGCAGGGCACCTAAACTGAGGGCTAGAAGCATAGCTGAAGATGGCAGGAAGAGCCAGGCCAGGCAGCCTCCCCACTCGTGGTAGGGGACACAGCAGGCTCCCTGCCAGGCAATCTGAGCACACTCAAAGTCTGGTGACATGAGAAATTGGGGCAGTGCACAGGTGCTGCAGTGGACAGAGTTACTAGCCGTGTGACCCTATGCAAGTCACTTCACCCTGTCTGTCTCAGTTCCTCGTGTGTAAAATGGGCTGGAAACGGCAAATCATTCCAGTGGGTTTTGACAAGAAGACCTCAAACGGGGTCACAGAGTCAGACATGATCATAAGACTTCTGCAGCAGGCAGGGCTTTGGCTGATATGAGGGAAGCCTGAAGCCCGGAGGCTGGGATGAGGAGGGAGGGTGTTCCACGTGAAGGAAACAGCTAGGGCAAAGGCTTGGAGTCGGGAGAGGGATGCTCTTGTTCATGGAACAGCCACGAGCCACACTCAGGAGGGCATGCTGCTGTAGCATGCATTAAACCTCCTATTTCACTGATGAGTAAACTGAGGCAGAGAGCTTGAGTCACTTCCTAAGGCCACAAAGCTGCTAGGAGGTAGATGGACCAAGATTGCAGCCTGGGTCCTTCCCACTCCTGCAGAACAGCCCGCGTTTGCCCTCTGAGCCCGCCGGAGCAGGCAGCCTTGCCCACGTGCTGCTTGCCCGAGGACTCGCAAGTGCGCAGGCGCTGCTGGAAGGGGCGTGCCCCACCCCCTCCGGGGGCCTCGCCGGCCTTTCCTTCCGGGGCGGCACATGCGCCCTCACCGCGCCTGTGGCCGCGCGGCTCCCCTACCGGAAGTGGTCCTTTCCCCCCTCCCACAATGCCCCGCGTGTGGCGGGGACCGGAGACTCTTCACGCGCTCACACAAACCCGCTCGGGCCTCGCCGCCGCCGCCGCCTCTGCGGGCTGAGGGAGGACGGGACCGGGCTGAACCATGGCGCTGCTGCGGGGAAGTTGGGGGGCGTTGAGGGTACTGGGCCGGCCCGCCGCCTTCTGGGCCCCCGCCGCCGCCGCCGACCGCGGGCTGCTGGAGCCGCCCCCGCCGAGGTGAGAGAGAGGCCGCTGGGGGCCGGGGGCGCCCACTCCGTGCGGGCCCCGGGCCCCCGCCTGCGCAGTGCGGGACAGAGGAAGGTCCGAGCTCGGCGCCGGACGGGACCGGCCCGTGGCTGCGGGCTCCGAGGCTCTCTGGGCCTTGAACCAGGGGCCGCCTGCCCCCGGCCTCAGTGTCCCCATTTGTAAAGCGGCTGAGCGTTTCCCTCGCCGGGCGCAGTGGAGGTGGGGGCGGGCCGGCTTCCTCCGGGCAAGGATGGGGTTCGAGGTTCGAATACTGCTTCTGCCCGGGAACCCGGGGCCGGGCCCTTCCCCCTGGGCTCCGCTCCTTCCTTTCCCCTCGGTTCTGCGAGCCTTTATCGAGTGCCGGGCGTGGGGATACCACGAGGAGTTTAAAGGACCCGCCTTGGGGCGTTCGCGTGGGTCAGACGCGGAGGGTGGAGCAGCCCCGCGCGATCCCTCGTGGGAGCCCCCAGCCTTCGGGGAGAGGGGGGCGGCAGAGCCGGGGTCCGCCTCCCCGCGAGCCCTTACGGCGCCCCCCAAACTGATCCCTGGGGGTCCTGGAGGAAATGCTAGGACGGTAACAAACGCGGTTACCAAAATGCCAAAAAACGCCTCAAAACGTTCACAGACCCCGAGGTGAGGAGCCCCGAGCAGGGCTGGGAGGCACGTTGGACGTTATCCGGGCGTATCCTCACCTGACCGGGAGAAGGGGGGGGCTTGGCCAACTCCCCCGGGGTGACGTTTACAGACTTCTTAGTATCTCTACTTCGTATGCAGATGGTGTCTGTGTACAGAGCCATACAAATGTAAGCGTCTTGAGGGCCAGGACAGCTTCATTTGAACCTCAGTTTTCTCATGAAAAATGAGGCAGTTGATCTAGACCGGCATTGTCATTTCAGGCAGGTGTTTGTGGGATGGCGGGTACCAATCTGTTATGCTTTTTTGTTTTCGTCATATTTAATTGTTTACGTTTATTGGCTGCATTTTGTTTTTATGACACACTTCCCTACAGATATCCAAACTTTTTCATAAAGTACATCCTTCCGTGCCTCCACTATAGTTGATTGATTTATTAACAGAAAGAAGGGATGTGTCCTTTACCTTTGACAGCATATTAACAGTGACTGCTGTATTTGACCAAAATTTTGTTACCTTTCTTGACTTTATTTACATTGCTGTAGTAATTGTATATCTTGTTCTTTAGGCTCTGCTTTTTTTTTTATTCTATATTACTTTCTTTTGTAAAAATTTTATTTTAAAAAAATTAATTTATTTTTAGTTTTTAACAATCACTTCCATAAGCTTTAGAGTTTAAATTTTCTCCCCTTCCCCCCCCTCCCCAGGATAGCAATCTGATATATGCTCTACATATACATTCCTATTAAACCTATTTCCTCATTAGTCATGTTGTGAAGAAGAATTAGAACCATTAGGAGGAACCACAAGAAACAAGAAAAAAAAAGAGCTAATAGTATGCTTCAATCTGCATTCAAACTCCATAAAGTCTTTCTTTGGATGTGGATTGCTTTTTCCATCTTGAGACTTTTGGAGATGTCTTAGATTCCTTGCATTGCTGAGAAGGGCTAAGTCTGTCAAAGTTTGTCATTGCACAGTGTGGCTGTTACTGTGTACAACGTTCGCCTGGTTCTGCTCACTTCACTCAGCATCAGACCATACAAGTCTTTCTAGGTTTTTCTGAAGTCTGCTTGCTCATCATTTCTTATAGCACAGTAGTATTCCTTTACATTCATATACCGCAACTTGTTCAGCCATTTCCCAAAGGATGGGCAACCCCTCAGTTTCTAATTCTTTGTCACCACACAAAGAGCTGCTGTAAATATTTTTGTACATTTGAGTCCTTTTCCCTTTTTGTGACTTAACCTAGTAGTGGTATGCTGGATCAGAGGGTATACACATTTTTTGTAGCCCTTTGGGCATAGTTCAAGTTGCTCTCCAAAATGGTTGGATCAGTTCACAACTCCACCAACAATGCATTAGCATCCCAGTTTTCCCACATCTTCTCCAATATTTATCATTTTCCTGTTTTGTCATGTTAGCCAATCTCTCTATATTACTTTCTACAAGTGTTTCTTGATCCGGTAGTTGAACCATAGCTCATTCAACCATTCCCTGGATCATTGGATACTCAGCTCTAAGTAGCCAGTTCCAGGCTCTCTGGGCTCTGGTATGATACCACTACTTGCCTTTTGGAGTTGGAAAAATTGAGTATACCATAGGCCTCTCATTCAACAAGACCAAAATCTAACTTAATGATCTTTCACTCTAAACACTTCCCTGTGACTGTTGGGGTGCTGTCCTTCTACCCAGTTCACCACTTTATCTCCTCACTCCCCCACCATCTCCATTGCATTGTCTGACCTTTATAGCATCTCTCTTCTCTCTCACTCACTCTACTGCAGATCCTGTTTTGCTCATGCTGGGACTATTGCAGTAGTCCTCCTTCCTCAGTCCTCTTCCTGCTCTAATTTATCTTCCACACAGTTGATAGTATAGGTCTGCCCATTTCACCAGTGGCTACTTCTTAGCTTCAGGATAAAATCAATGTTTAAAACTCCACAACCTGGCTGCTTCCTAGGCTTACCCTGGACTCAGTTGCACACACAATGGTACGTTGGCCCCTTGCTGTTCCTCCCACATCTCTTTGTCCTTAGCTGTTGCCTTTGCCTAGAATACTTTTCTTCCTCACTTCCTCCTCTTTGGCTTCTTTCAAGACTGAGCTCAAATCCAACCTTCTTTAGGAACTCTTTTCCTGATGGTTCAGCGCTCCTCCCCCCAGTTGTTAGCATCTTCAACTCTGACATTATTTGGTATCTGTAGATAGGTTGTACATCCATAGCTGTTTACATTTTGTCTTGAGCTCCTGGAGGACAGAGATGTTGGCTTTGCCTTTCTTTGTGTCCCTAGCAATAACACTTGGCTTGGCACATGGTAAGCCCTTCCAAAATGCTGGTTTTTATTTCCACCTTTTTGTTATCAATAATGTTGCTGTGCTATGTTGTACTTTACATCACACATGTGTATCTTGAGATAGTTACATTACATTGTCACTGTAAGACACTTGTGACAGAATGACCTCTCTACCTCAAAGCACACCTGATCTCTCTCTTTCTTTGGCACTTTCAGGTTTACAAACTATGGTTCAGAGGTAGTACAAGTTATCCTTGTCCAACTCATGTTTGAGGGCATTTAGGTGTAAAAAGGTCGTATTGTGTTCACATATGGTGACTGACGGAACTTGAACCCTGGTCTCCTGTTAAGGCACATAGTCTGCTATCTCAACTGCCATAGGCTGGAAATGATTGGGCATTTTCTCCTAAATTGCCCTCCTGAAATTGGGGCATCTTATCCTCTGACCTTCTGTTTGAACCGTAAATGGACCCCTAACACTTAGTAGTTGTATGACCAGGGACAAGCCATATAATGTCTCTGACCCTCAGTTTTTTGACCAGTAGAACACCAATAGCGATCTTTGCACTATCTACCTCAGAGAGTTGTGTTATTAAGCACCTTAAGGTTAGTGCTGTTTAAATGTGGACACATGTTTATTCTAAGAGATCATTAACAAACACCTGAATCTAAACACAACTTTTATTTACAGCAGTTCTATCTGTGGATTGGAATGGTTTATGAAAGACTGTACTTTATCTAATGCTCCAAAGAAACCTTGGTCTTCATACATTCGTTTTTCAATGGACTTTCGACCCATACTCAAAGAACAAAATCCAGGTAAGTTATGTCTGATGGAAGTCTACTCCATAGCACCTCATGGAATTAGCGCAGAAAAGAAAGCATGAAACTTTTATTGCTGATCTGGAGCTGCCGTTGATGGTCGTGAGGCTGTCACTTCACCTTTTTCTGTTTCCTTATTTATAATAAGGAGACACGCTGTTGAATCCCTGCCCCTCTCTACCAAGGCAAGGTGCTATGATGGTACCCAGAGAGTAAGTGAAAGGTTTAAGTTTTTTAGAAGTTATAAAACTTTGAAAATAAATACTTTTCACAAGGTTCTAAAAAGAGGCTCCTTGAGGAGTAATTAGGTGAGTTGTCGGGCGACATCTTCAAGAAGATGCCACATGACCTCCGGGCTAGAAGCCAGCCATGCTTCCCTTTGATATCGTGGTTCCCGCCAGTTTTATGGCGCTGCAGTGATCTGAAATAGAACTCAAGAGGAACAGCAGTAACATTGGCATAGTGAAGGCAGAGGAACCACAGAGAGTGGCTGTTCTTTCCATTTATAAGGTTTTATGTGAAGCTTTTGTGGCTCTGATGAGGTCTCTTCTGAAGCTTTCTCATGCCATAAGTGACCTTGGACATTTGAAGATTATGCTAGTGGAGTATAAGTGCTCCAGTGTGGAAAGGCTTCGAGTTTGGGTCCAGAAAGGAATTGTGGTGTGTTTGTTGTCCAAGGACCGTGGTGGCCAAGTTCAGAGGGACTTCATCCCCTGGTTTAACACAGGATGATGAAGTTTTTGGTCATTGTATTTCTCAAGGACAGTATTAGTCAGTCAGGAAGCTTTTATTAAGTGCCTGCTCTGCTCCATGTGCCATGCTAGGTGCCCTGGGATAGATTAGTAAGGGTTTAGAGATGGATTGTATTCTATGTATGTTGTGGGGGGCACCTATATGAATGAAATAACAGATATTTGAGGTATTGAAGTGGCATCGAAGCACCAGGTGGTGGTAGGAGCAAATGAGTAGGATCACATGTTCCCTCAAAACAAGATACACCAGGGTATTTGCCTGCTAGTCTGACAGCATTTTAAGGAAGCAGGAACTTATTTTTAAGACTGTTAGCAATCACTGAAGTTCTGAAAGATTAAAGACACTCATCCATTTGATCTCATTTCTCTTCTTCAGCCGTAAAGATGAGAAAACCACAGCAATGTGTGCTAAGGAAGTAGTAGCAAGTAACATGTTCTTTTTTTAATTTAATTTAATTTTTAATTTAATTTAATTTAATTTTTTTTAGGCCTGGGGTTAAGTGACTTGCCCGTGGTCACACAGCTAGTCAGTGTCCAGTGTTTGGTCTGAGGCCGGATTTGAACTCAGGTACTCCTGCTTTCAGAGCCGGTGCTCTATCCACTGTGCCACCTAGCTGCCCCAACATGTTCTTTTAAACTAGATCACATTCCCCTAACTTTATTGTGGCCAGGGAGGGGGGAAAATATGCCTTTTAAAAACCTGCATCTTGCTCTTTCAGTTGAGGGAAGAAACATGAGAGTAGTGGATGCATTTGAGGATAATGCAGTATGTTTCAAGATATTTTCATGAAGAAAAACAAGGTAGTAGTGTCTAAAATGAGAGCATTGGGGTATTTTTTTCCAAGATGCTCGATATAAAACTTTAAATGATTTGGAGCCCAGCAAGATCTGCTCTTCTGAGGTTCCTCATGGATGTCATGTCAATTTAACTTGTCCTAGGAATTAACTTGTGTGTGGTAACTGTCAGCTAAAAATCAGTAAAGATTAGAGAGGACTTGGAAGCTGTTTAGGAAATGTTTTGGATCATTTGACTCAAGTTCAAGTAGGGCTTTAGGTTATTGGCATAAGGATTTTGTAATATAAATTAGTTTAGGAGAAGACACCAGTGAATTAGGCTTTTTAAGAACTCTTTAGTCGTAAGGAAAGTAAATTGAAATGTTCTTAATTTCGTTCTTATCTTCAGATTTGAAAAGCACCGAGATAGTCAAGAAGCTTGCTGAAGCTTGGAGGGAGCTTCCAGAGTCACAGAAGAAAGTGAGTTAAGTTCCTTGCCACCATTCTGGGCTGTTGCTAGTGTCATGAATTTTAGACATCGTTAGGCCAGTGTGTTGGCCAGTGCTCATGGATAATGAAAAAGCTCAATCTTATAATCTGTTTTTTACTCACTCTGTAGCATACTTGGAAAGAATACTTATTTCCATTCTGAAAAGCTTGGGTCCTGGTCTTGGTTCCAATATTTGTTAGCTCTAAGTCTCGGTTAGTCATGTCACCCTCCTCAGCCTTTATTGGAATAAGAGAATACTTACTTTGTATAGTCTGCCTTACAAGGTAGATTAAGGAAGGTGTCTTGTGTACTTTAACTATTCTATAGAAATGTGAGCACTCAGGACCGTTAAGTCCTTACTAGATAGAATAGAGATGGTAAAGCAAGTATATGCACTGAGGCAGCTATAATGGGTTTTAGAAAAGAATGTACCCGACTTTTAAAAAAATTCTAATTTTTTTCAGTGACCAAAAATCCATTTTCTCTCCTTCTTAGCCTCCTCTTTTAGAGGAACCCTCGCCCAACTCTTAAAACAATTATGTATAGTCTAAATATGCCTTATTCAGTATGAAAATATAATTTTAAGAAATTTTTTTTGTGCTTATAAAAATTCTGTTTCAGCGAAGCTGTTAAATCTCATTAGTGAGTGGTATTTGCACTCTTGAGAGGTATAGTTTAATTTTCAGTGAAAATGTCTTTTAAATAGTTCCCTGTAGTTGGACAGATAGGTTATACATGATGCCAATAGGTTTAGCTGCCTACCCAGTAACTGAAATTTCCTCTGCTTAAAGCTTTACGGCTTGCTTTCCCTACCAAGTTTGGTGTAATGTACTTAGCTGTAACAGCTTAGTGATAATAACTCTTGATTATTGTGCTTTTTGTATGTTTAGGTATATAAAGAAGCTACTGAGGCAGCTTTTAAAATATACAGAGAAGAGGCCTTGAAATATAAATCAGAGCTCGATCATAATCAGAAAAAAGTTTTGAAAGAAGAGAGCCGTCGAAAGAAGGCTAGAAAGGAATTAATAAAGAAAAAAAGAGTGAGTTTGAACCTGGTTTCTCCTGACAAAGGACCGAATTTGACATGAATATCTGTTTGTATTTCTGGTAGTGTTTTTTAAAAAAGTTTTCCTTATTATAAATTTGAAAAACATGAACATTTCTCTATGTAAAGGACAGAAAAAAATGCATTTGAACTATGGATCTCCACTCTGCACAATTTGTGTTTTGTTATTGGTTTTGTATACTTCAAATTTAATATGATAATTTCAATACTGTCACACTTGCTTGTGTGTATTGGGTGGGGGTGGGGTGGGACAGATTGCTTAATTTGCCTTTTAGAGTAGGACCTCGTTGATTTGGACTACTTAGGTCTGAGAACAATCTAATTAGGCATAGCTCTCTATCTAATTCACTGGACCACTTATTTCCAACCTTTATTAGCCTTTGGTCAGTGGCCTCATTGCATTTGGCCCTCCCTCTAAGCTGTGATGAATAAGACCTCAGGTGGCATGATTGGTCGGAGAAGTTCATCAGCTTTGTACATCAGTTTCATGACGGCATGCTTGCCCGGGGTTCTGGATATTGGACAATGCTCTTGTGCTTTCTCAGTCACCAGTGGAGTGAAACAAGGCTGTGTGCTTGCTTCCATACTTTTTAGCATGATATTTTCAGCCACGTTGTCAAATGTTTTCAATGAGGATGAATATGGCATCAAGGTCAGCCACCACACTGATGGTAAATACTTCAGCTTAAAAAGACTGCAAGCCAAGATCAAAGTGGAGGGAGTGTTGGTGCATGATTTCCCGTTTGCAGATGATTTGTGCACTCAGTGCAGCTTCTGAAGCTGAGAGGCAGCAAAGTATGGGTCGATTCTCTGTTGTTTACGCTAATTTTGGTCTAACAGTTGACTGCAAGAAAACACACGTGCTCCATCAGCCACCACCACACCATCCCTACGTGGAACATTGGTTACAGCAAATGGAGAAGTTTTGAATGCTGTGAATAAGTTCGCTTACCTTGGTAGTGTACTTTCCAGGGATGTGCACATTGATAAAAGAGGTTGACACATGCATTGCCAGAGCTAGCTTAGTGTTTGGGAGGCTCCAAAGGAAAGTGAAGGAGAGAAGAGGTATTAGACGAACTACCAAACTGAAGGTCTACAAAGCTGTTGTGCTGACCTCGTTGTTGTATGCCTGTGAAACCTGGACAATATACCAGTGCTGTGCCAGGAAACTGAATCGCTTCTATTTGAATTGTCTTAGGAAGATTCTGAAAATACCTGGCAGGATAAGATACCAGACACTGAGGTCCTTTCTCGAGCTAAACTGCCAGGCATTGAAGCTCTACTGCAGAGAATGCAACTTTGATGGGCTGGCCACATTGTTCGACTGCAAAACATACGCTTGCCAAAGAGACTTTGATGGAGAACTCACACAGGGCAAGCCTTCACGTGGTGTTTAGAAGAAGCTACAAGGACACTCTCAAGGTCTCTCTTAAGAACTTTAGAATTGATATTGTATGACATGGAAGACACTGGCACAGGACTGCTCAGCATGGTATGCCCACATCAGAAAAGGTGCTGTGCTCTGTGAGCAAAGCAGAATTGAGATAGCTCAGGAGAGATGCAAGATACGCAAACTTAGAGAATCCCAAAGGTTCCCAAGGACTATTTGTGCCCCACCTGTGGTAGAGCATTCCGAGCTGGTATTGGTCTGATCAGCCAGTTGGATGCACTAAAACTTGAATCTGACCTAGTGATGTCACTTTGGTCCTCTTTGAAAATGAAGGACAACAACATTGTCTCCCAACCTCAGGATCGTTCTTCCAGTTGTCTCCATGACTAGTACCTGATCCATTTTTTTTTGTTCTCTATCTCCTGTTATCAAAGCGACTTGTATGTTTATGTCGACAACAACTTTGACACTTCCTTATAGCCAGTGATACTTGATTTTTATGTGGCACTTTAAGTTTTACTGAGTATTCAAAATTGGAGATACCTTTCTTCTTTTTGTCACCAAAGTATGAGATAGTTCCCATGATGCCCAGTATGACTGTTTTTTTAAAGCACTGAGCAAAGAAGAAACTAGGTAAGTGAGTTGGTGAACTCATTTAAAACAGTGTGACTTTGAGTTCAGCTGCCTTACTTGGTTTGACTTTCTTTTCAATATCATCCCTCTCCTTTGAAAAGTTTTATATGTAATGCAAACATTTTCTTCATGCAGTTATATTTCATGGTGAAATAGATCATAATTTTTGAGACTTGTTTGTGGATAGAACATTCATGTCAAAGAACATTTGTCAGTGCATCATTGGAAAGACCTTGATATTGGAATTGCATCTAACTCTTTTAAAATTTAATTTAATTTTTCTTAATGAATGAAAATCTTATTTTATCTCATGGATATAAAAAGAAAAAATCTTTGCAACAAATGTGCATAGTTAAGCAAAATGAAATTCCTACATTGTCTTAATCAAAAGTGTCTTAATCTTTCCCTAGAGTCCATTACCTTTCCGAAGGTGTGGAGCATAATTTATTGTCCATCCTTAAATCATAGGTGGTGATTGTAGTGATCAGAATTAATTTTTCTTCTGGTGATATTTTGGTATTATTCTGCTGGTTCTGCTCACTTCACTTTACATTAGTTCCTCTAAGTCTTCCCAGGTTTCTGTGAAGACTTATTCATTTTTTTTTGTGGCTATCATTAAGATTTGGTTTCTTCCTCTGAAAACTGCCTTTTCTCATCTTTTGGTAATTTTTCAATTGGAGAATGGCTGTTGTAAATTAGAATCCGTTCCTTTTACATCATGGAAATGAGACCTTTTGTTAGAGAAGCTTCCTAGAAGATTTTTTTTTCCCATTTATCTACAATTCTAATTCTAAAATGGTTTCATTTATGTAAAAACTTGATTTTCTACAATCAAAGTCATTTATTATGTCTTTTGTGACTCTTACTGTCCTTTGTTTGGTCATGAACTATCCCTGTCTCCATAGGTCTGGCAAGTAATTTTTTCCTTGCTGCACTAACTTGTTAATACCATCCTTCCTGTCTTAAATTGTGTACCCATTTGGAGCTTTTCTTGGTGTGCAATATGAGATGTTGGTCTGTATCTAATTTCTGTCACCATTTTCCTGTTTTCCCAGAAATTTCTAACTCTTTTTTTTTTATTTCAGGAATTAACCATCTTTGGAAAGCCCAAAAAACCTCGCTCAGGTTATAACATTTTTATTTCTGAACACTTTAAGGAAGCGAAAGGATCTTCAGCACAGGTAAAGCAAAATAATATTTGATAATTACGTAGTGTTACATACATTAGCTTGTTGATCCTCAAGCTCAATAATCACGTATTATCATCATCATTTCATAGATAATCTTTAAAGCCTTATTTTCTTAAGTGACATATTGAGGGTCATGAGCCAAGTGATAGACCCTAAGATAAATTCCGAGTATCTAATCCTAGACTCTACTGTACAGCCATATCAGTTATATTTGAACCTCAAATCTGAGGGTCATTAAAGACCCTTGTTTAAGGGTGTCATTCACTAGACAGATCTGTGCTGCGTCTCAGGTGCTGAGGACGGTGCCAAGTCTGAACATAAGAAGCAGTCAGGATTTTCATGTAAAGATTTAATTTTTTGACCATGTTTTCCTGTCACTCCATTCCATATAGTCTAATTGGTCAGCATTTCAGAAATCCTTTTTTTGTAAACTTTTACTTAGAGATTTAGATTAGAGATAATCTAGTTTATATGATCATAGATTTAGAGCTGAAAGATACCTTGGAGGTCATCTAGTTCAACCCCCTCATTTTACAGACAAGGAAATGAAGGCTCTTGGAGGGAAAGGAAATGGAAATAAATGGCCCACTAGGTTTTGAACCCAAGCCTTCTGACTAGATTCATCAATATTTTACAGGTGAGGCAGTTATGACTCAGATGAAATGACTTTTCCAGGGCCAAGTGACCACTGAGAATGAGCCTTCAAGATTTATGAACCTGTAGATACTTTGACGCAGAACTGAGAAGAAATGAAAAATCCTGTAGCTTTTGCAGTTGGGGTGATTATATGTGCTTGATTTTGAGCCTTTCTGCAGATTGATAGCTACACACATATATTTAGTTGAGAGTATTGTTTAAGTTTAGAGTAGAATGATGTTAGAAATTGGTCAGTGTTAACTGTTGCTTTTAGAAAACATGTGGATTTCTTGAGTCCCAAGAGGAACCATAAAATGAGTTATTTTTCTTTTGTTTCTTGTATCTCCCTTCCCCTCCCCCAAAAGGAACTAAACAAAAGTGTGTTGTTTTTTAGCAAATGATGAAGGTTTTAAATGAAGAGTGGAAAACTCTGTCATCATCTCGGAAGCAGGTATGATCATAGAATCCTAGCTTTAGATCTAGAATGCAGTTTTTATTGCTTGAAGAGACCTTGGAGGTTATTCAGTCAGGCCCCTCATTTCATGCATGAGGAAATTGAGGCCTAAAGAAACTAAATGACTTCACCAAGGCCACAGAGGTTGTAGATGGCAGGATGTGAACCAAGTGTTTTGGATTCCATATCCTGTAAATCTTTGCACTGAACCACAGTTTCAGGTAAAATTTTTAGTCTCATGCTCAAGTAGAATATTCATTCAAAACTTAGTGTACAGAGAACTTGATGCTGCTAACAGGACAGTTAAAATATTTTGGAAGGACTTTCGTGTTTGTTCTGGGCCTGGTCTCATGATTTTATTGGTATAGGGCCCTCCCAGGTGAGGAAACTCCCTCTACCACTGCAGAACAGCACTTCCTCTGCGTTTTATACTTTGTAGATATTTGCCCAAAGTGCTGGGGCCACACAGCCAGTAGGTGTTGGAGGTGGGACTTAGGAAGATCTGAGGTCTTCCTGGCTTTGAGGCCGGCTCTGTAGCCAAAAGAGCATGTTGCTTTTCTCTTACAGATTACTGTAAAATGATTTGGGGGGGGGGGCATCAAACACAAGGTTTTTTTCTCCCCATTGCTCAAAACTATGAAGTTGTTACTTAACTGAATTTAAATTTCACCCGTATATACAAACTGCACAAGGTTTCCCCCATCTCTGCCCCGGGGTGATGAATTGTCTTCTTTAGAAAAGTTTCATTAGTACCTAAAGATCATCATTTCACAAATCCCTCCCTTCTGACAAAAAAAAATACAATTAAGCAAAACAAAAGAGCCATGTCTGATAGCATGTTTTTGTAATTCACTACCTTTGCTCTAGGCTTCACTAATAGTTCTTTTAAGTCATAGTTATCACTGCTTCAGTCAGGTGTCTGATGTCTTTAAGGGTTGTCCTTTGTATTCTTGTCATCATACAAAATTGCCCTTTGGTTTCTGCTTACTTTATTTATCAGTTCATACAAGTCTTCTTAAGTTTCTCTGGATTCCTCATGCTTTTCATTTCTTATGGCACTGTAATATTCTATACATTCATATAGCACAGTTTATCCACGTTCCTCAAATGACTGAGCATCAACTTTCTTGTGCTGACATGTTTCCCCCCCCGCCAAAAAAATTACTGCTATGACTTTTTTGTGCATGTGGGACAATATCCTGGGGGTCATTGCTGTGCATCCTTTAGTGACCTTGTGATTAACTCTTTCACATGTAGATGTGTATCCTTTTTGGTCCTCTTCTTTCCTCGCCCTCTTTCCATGATCATCTCTCTCTCCTAGAGGTGGTTAAGTTCCACCTATATTTGTGTGAGATAGTATACATGTCATAGATTTAACTGTTCCAGAAAGAAAAAGGAGATTTCCCCTAAGAAGTTACTGAACAACTATATATTCCTTCCTCAGGTATATCAACAACTTGCCGAAGATGATAAAATTCGTTATGAAAATGAAATTAAATCGTGGGAAGAAAAAATGCTTGAAATTGGACGAGATGATCTTTTACGTTTTAGGAAGCTAAAAGCCAAAATTGGAAAACACCTTGAGGACATCTATTGATGTTTGCTTCTTCATAGTGAATATGATAAATATTCACGAACCAATCAGGTCTCTCTCTACGCAGGACTATGACAGACTTTCTAAGAATGATGTTGGTGAACATTTTATATTAATCTCTCTCTCTTTTTTTTTTTTTGGTTAGGCAGTGGGGTTAAGTGACTTGCCCAGGACCACACAGCTAGTAAGTGTTATGTGTCTGAGGCCGGATTTGAACTCAGGTCCTCCTGAATCCAGGGCTGGTGCTCTATCCACTGCACCACCTACCTGCCCCATATTAATCTCTTTTTGTTAATAATATATGGACTTCAGCCAGTATGCCGACCTATGTTGTATCAGCCCCTAGCTATGGATGCTCCACTGGCATAGACTCAGTCTAAATTCAGACATATTTGCTTTTGGAACTACTGAATACCAAACAATTCATCTAAGTGTAGGAGGGATTAATGTTACCTTCAGATAAGAGTGAATCAAGCTGTGAAACATTTTTGATACTGGATGACGACAAGAAAGTATTCTTGTTTCCTAATGAGGAGACAAGCTTTGCTTTTCTCCAATTGTCTTAAATTATAAAAGCCACAGCGGTCTAAGCTGTCACTGTTGTGGATTTTTAAAGAATGAGGAACTGACCTAGGTAAGTCCTAGGTCCTAATATCTAGGCAGGTTCTAATTCCTAGGTAATCCTAGCTCAGAGTATTCAGAAATGACGAGTGGACACACATACAATTGCTGATTTCATTTATGACTTTTTAAAAAACTACTGAAGGATTTATAAATGTTTCCGTCCATCCCTTTCTTTGTAAAGATTATGTCAACTCTGTGCACGTTGGTGTTTATATCGCAGAGAATAAAATCTTCTAATGCATTCTACCTAATTTACATACTTAAATGTTCTAAAAACAATGTTATAGTTCTTTCTTTTAGAGGGTATTAGGTTTTTTACAAAAATCAATCAAAAAGTGTCATGTGCCAGGCACTGGGCTTGGGCATTGGGTAGACAAGTTTCAAGTATGAAATGTTATACTTGAAATGAGTTTGAAATTACTTTCAAATGTTTTCTACTCTTAAATAGAACAGTTCTCCATCCAGTATCAATTTTTATTGCGATGTGTGAAGGTTTTCATTTCCTCTAGGTATGCTATGGAATATTTAGAAACTTACAAAGTATTGTGTAAGAAGAAGAAGAAGAATTGCTAAGTCCTGTTTCAAGAGATGTACATTGTTACTAGGATGCTTTTACTGTTAAGGGGCTGAAAAGCCAAGTGTGACATGATGAAGCCCTTAAAACTGTAGAATCTAAGACGCTGAAAGAAAATTGCAGATATTTTTGTTTCTTGTAGGTAGAGATATTATGATTAAGTTAAGGCTGAAACTGGGGAGTGTTGACCTTTGAACCCTGACTTTAGAGTTGGTGAGCATCCTAAGAGGGTAAAGTGGGGATAAAGCGGTAAGGTTTTGGGTGTATGTAATATTTCTGTGAGGGTGTAAAAAACATCCTGTAACCAGAATTATATGTAAGGTAGGTCTGGAGCCTGCTAATGCTAGGAAGAAAAAGAAGCTCTTAGGCTCATATTCTTCATATTATCAAAATACCCCAAACAGCTTCTCTCATAGATCCATTTGTCTCTTTACCACCAAGACAGATATTTTTGATAATGATTCCAAAGAAATACGTATAAAGCATTTAAAAAAGGAAGATAAGAATGTATCACATATTCTTGTGGCTCTCTTTCTGTTTCAAAATGTCATCAGTTTTTAAAATTTAAATTGTTTAAGTCTTTTTAAGGATCATAGGTGAGAAGGTGCACCCTGTTAGTGACTGGTAATACTAATGACAGCTGACATCCATCTGGTGCTTTTTGATTTGCAAAGTGATACGCACACATTGTTTCATTTGAGCTGCATGACAGTCTTATGAGGTAGGTATGTGTGTTGTCATCCCTGTTTTGAATGGCAGGAAACTAAGGACCAGGAATGGGAGAGGGAATTGATGAACACACAAATTTAAGTAGTCTGCAAGGATTTTTAGGTTCCTACCATGTGCCAGTCACTACAAGATCCTCTGAATACAAAGCCAAAAGAAATCATCTACATTGTGTCGAGAAAGACAGTGGCTGGCTCAGTACCTGGAACATCATAAGAGATTAGTAGACACTTACTGATTGACATGTACGTATGTATGTTGTTTTGTTGTTACTAGTAGTAGTAGTAGCAGCAGATGGAGAAATTAGAAAATACTTAATGTAGAAAGTGTCAGGTTAACTGAGCCTTGAGGGATTTCTGAAAGAAGTGAGGAGAGAGTGAAATTCCTATGTGGATAATAGGTATGGAGATGAGAAATGAAGAGTGGCATATGAAGAGTGTAAGGTGAATTTGACTGTTCCACAGAATATGTGTAATAAGACTGGATGGGGAGGTCGAACAAGTTGGGAAGAGCTTTAGGTGCCAAATAAGAGCTTGAGTGGGGAGCTGATGTGGTCAAACCTGTGCTTGAGGAGTTGGGTGAGCCTTGACAGAGGGAGACCACTTTCTAAATGGGAGATGATGAGGAGCCAGACTGGGCAGGGATTGGATGTGAGATGTGGTGGTGGAAACAATGAGATTTGTCAGCTAGCATATGTAAGAGTCAAAGGAGTCCAGGAAGACATCACAAAACCAGGTGACTTGGAGGGTGGTGTTGCTCTCACCAGTAACAGTTTGGCTTTTGGGTAAAGATAATGAGTTCTGTTTGCGACTTGTTGAGTTTGAGACCCTTTATTGGTGTTGGGGCTAGAACTCAGTAGAGTAAGTAGAGGGGATTGATCTGGGGAGTCCTCTGCATAGACAGAATAATTAAACCTAAGGGAGCTAGTGAGGTCACCAAGTGAGCTAGTGTAGAGAGAGGGCCCAGGACAACCCTGGGGAGAGTGGAGTGTAGAGGAGCCAGCCAACTTGGTCAGAGAATGAAAGGAGAACAGCTTCCCAGAGTGTGCAGGTGGTCAACTGTGTCAGATGTTGGCAGAGGTCAAGGATGAGAAATGAGAAAGGACCATTCAATTTGGCAGTTGAGAGGCCCTTGATTTTGGAGAGTCGTTTTGGTTGAGCGATGGAGTTGGAATCCAGTTTACAAAGGATTGAGAAGTAAGAGGAAAGAGTGAAGGGAGGGAGTGTAGACAGCATCACAAAAAAAGTTGAAGCATGTCTTCCTGATTTCAAGTACAGTATCTACCGTGAGATGCTGCCTCTTTGTAGGATGTAGTAAATACATCTCCTATAGTGTGACACTAAAGTAAAATCACTCTGATTTCTCATGGTTAAGCATGACAACTAGAGTGCCTTGTAATTAATTCCATTGCCTCTGTCTACACCTGGCTGATGCTTGGAGGCTTCACTCATTTGATTACACAGAGGGGGTATGGAAGAATGGCAGATGGCAAAGAGTTAGAAGTGGGTGAAACAACAGTCAGAAAGGAAGAGTAATTTCCCAAGTGCACAGAGGCATGTTTTCTGATGAGGAAAAATAGTAGTAACTTGGAAAATTGAGATTGTTCCATGGGACCAGATGCACAGTGACTTTGTCTCTATTCCTTTCTGTAAGTAATTTAGTAACTCTAGAACGTTTTTTGAAGTGTAATAATGATTTCAAGTATTTTAGTATTAGAACTTAAAGGTTAACTTTCTACAGTATTACATGGGAAAGCATATTAGCTGACGTGAGCATTTTATTGATAGCCTCCTGTACATGTCTGAGACCTGTCATTTCACACACCAGGCTGTGCTGTAGGCTTTGGGCTCAGAAAGCTAGTAGTTCTTTCATTACAATCTCTTCAGTTTTTTAAGATTTACGTAAAGATGAACAATTATTGCTTCCTTACAAGTAGTCCCCTTTCCCTGATGTTGTAACTAAACTTAGGTTGTGAATAATTAAAATTAAACTTTGGAAATGTACTGGTCTCATGCAGTAAGTATAGAGAGCATTTGGGATATTTTTCATTGGTAGTGCTATCATTCTGCTTTAAGATTTTTTTAACTGGAAAATCTCATAGAATATCGGAATATTTCTACCATTAACAAACACAATTTGTCAAAATCTAAAAGTTTTCTAAGAAAAGGTAGAACTTTCAAGAAAGTAAGTGTCCTAAGAGATGCCCTTAATAACCTTGTTTTTCAAAATAAGTGTACTTGAGTGTTAACAGTATTTTGAATTAATCACTGCAGGAAAGTCTCTGATAAAGAATAGAGGTAAAAGAATGTTACCTAATTAGTCAAAGCCTCAGATTTTAGAGGAAAACCAAAGTTATAATAGAAATGGGTTTGAGTTGCTTACTTAATTGTTATTAAAAAATACTTTGTTATATTTTGATTTTACATTGCCTAAATTTGCCTCTGTAGCCTGCTCTACCTAGACCTATCCAGTGCAACAAAGACTTTTTAAAAGAGAAAGGAGAGAAAAGGATCAGGAAACACTATCAGTGTTTTGAAAGAAATCTGACAGTGGATGCAGACACTTGTGCAAAGATGTGGGGGAAGGTGTTTCTGAAGCCATTCCGGTTCTGTGTAATTTCACAACATTTTGTGTATTTGTGGTCATTCTTTACATTTGCATTTTTATAGTTATTCTGTATATATTTTTTTGGCTCTTTTTCACTTTGTATCGGTTCATATTAACCTAAACTTCTCTATATTGGTCACATTTATCATTTTTTACATTCCAGTAATGCATTATATTCAGATACCACATTTTGTTTAGTTGTTCCCCATTTGTTGAGTATCCATTTTTTTCCCCTCATTCTTTACTATCATACAGAAAAAAAATATTTTGAGGTATTTGAAGGCTTTTTTAAAAAAATCACTGGTTTCCTTTGGATGTTTACCTAGCAGTGGGTGTCTGGATTAAAGAGTATGAACATTTTAGCCACTTGTTTTGCATAATTCCAAATTGCTTCTAAAATGGTTTTGCTAATTCTTACCGGAATTCTACCAAGAGTCCATTAGTATTCCATACCCTTTGGCGTTGACTATTCTGTCTCTTAAAAAGTAATGTAATAAACAGAATTTGATACCCATGAATTTCTTAACCTTTCCAAAGAAGGAAGAGAAGGGAATATGTCTTATCATTTTTTGGAGCTAAGCTTTTCCATTTTAATTTTGCATTTAGTTAATTTTGTTGTTTTTCAGTTACTTCTATTTCCGTTGTTCATATATCGTATT